AGTGATTCACCGCGACGGAGTGTCAAAGAATCAACCCGTAGAGAGCACTTGATCCTTGCGTGGATCAAGGGGGAGCTACACCCTTGCGCGGGTACTCCAACGAGGACTAGTGGGGAGTGGCGACTCTCCGATACCTCGGCAAAACATCGTCGCGTTCCTCCTTCTCTATTTACTTTGAGCATTTACTTTGAGCAATTAAATTTTGTTTTTACATTCATATAATTGCCATGCTAGAGTAGGATTGGAACTTAGGTTTGAAGTCTTTTGAAACACTTTCTAGGCATAAGGGGTTAATTGAGCTAACCATATGATTTAATTATTGCAAAGAAATTTATAATTAGTCTAATTCACCCTCCTCTTGAGCATCTTAATCCTTTCAGGTAGGTTGGTTCGGCTCTTGACGAGGACGTCGAGTCCTTAAGGGTGGGTGTATGTGAGACCCCGCTAATGGGTCAAGTTGGGCTGGTCTGATGGGCTGAGCCGAGTTGCCCACATTGGAACCTGAAAGGATACCGAACCAACTTAAAAGTCTCGGTCTAGGAAGCTGTTAACTCTGGTTCGAACATTTTGTGCGAAGCGATGACGAAAGCGCAAGATTGTTAATTAGCAGGTGTGGTCCATTCAAAGTGTAGAGTGGATATTAGCTGTCTTCCCGGGTTAGGACGTTACAAATGGTATTCAGAGCCAACTCTCGCTGTTTCACGAACATATGGGTCGGGACCTCGGACAGGCTGCGCATGGCTCTACAAGAGCATGGCACTTGGGCCGGGGAGCTGGGAATATGGTCGTGGACCAAGAGAGTCAATCCTGGACATTTGTCCTGTTTGGATAGGTTGGTTCGGCCCTCGACGAGGACGTCAAGTCTTCAAGGGTGGGTGTATGTGAGACCCCACTAAATGGGCCGGTATGGTGCTGGGAGGTTATTAACTCCTGTTCGAACCTTTTGCGCGAAGCGAGGACAAAAGCGCAAGAGAGTTAATTAGCAGGTGTGGTCTATTCAAAGTGTAGAGTGGATCTTAGTCGTCTTCTCAAGCTGGGGCGTTACAGAGCATCTCTTCTTAAACTCACTCTCTAAATTCTTATTTGTCATTTGAATAAAAAAATATCCTCTATGTTATTTTTCTACGTTTGGTTGGCTCAGCCTCGATTGGGCGATGACCAAATTACAGCGGCCCCAGCAGCTTCGAGCAGCTACCGCGTTCTTTGAAGAATAGAGAGAGGCCGGCCGGGTGCACGGACGCATGCTGCATGCACCGGCCTGATCCGCTGGTCGTGCGCGGCGCGTAAGGGCCTAGGGGCCATAATCCGGCACTCCGGCGCACAGGGCCGGGCCAGGGCGGCGCATGCCGCACCCGGACACCCTGTCGAGAATCGGGGTTGTGCACAGGGTGAGGACTGAGGGTGGTGCTGCGAGCGCGTCACACGGCAGCGGCCGGGCACGGCACGCGCTGTGCACACCCCTCGTGAAAAAACTAGGGACGACAATACACTGGGCCTTTCCTTAACACACACACACACTGGCCCGCCACGCCGTTGGGCGGGATGGGCTGGCCTGCGATGGAGGAAGGCGGCCGCCTAGAACTCGGGCCGATGGTACCATTGGGCCGTTAGCGGAAGAAAAAAATCTACATTATCTTCCTCAACTTTCGCGAAAATCCGCTTTTCCTCCTCAAATTCCAAAACCGGGCAAAACAACTCCCTCAACTTTTAAAACCGTTCATCTTACCTCCCCGGCCCTGTTATAAGGGGTTTTGAAGGCGGTTTTGTCTTTTTATTTTTTATTTATTTTGGCTGAATATATGAAAAATCATAGTAAATTACAGAAAAATCATAAAATGGAAAATCCAATTTTGTTGAACTCCACATGAGTATATCTACACAGTGAACATATAATATGGTATGATTTAGTACAAAATTTTTACTGTGACTTTAGATCTATGTTTTTCTGTAATTAAATAGAATAATTCATAACTGCAGTTTCTATGATCCAATTATGGTGAAATTTTTATGGTGGGCTAATTATTGTATGCTTAAACTGTAGTAAAAATTTCATACTTATTGGATCATGTATAACATAGTTATGGATTTTATTTAAGTTTATGCTTGTTAAATATAAATAAATCTATAACTAAGCTATACATGATCGAATGAGTATGAAATTTTTACTACAGTTCAATCATACAATAATTAGCCCACCATAAAAATTTCACCACAATTGGATCATAGAAACTGCATCTATGAATTATTCCAATTAATTAGATAAAAGTATAGATCTAAAGCCACAACAAAAATTTTGTATTAAAGCATACCATATTATATGTTCACTATATAGTTATACTCATGTGGAGTCCCAAAAAAATAGATTTTTCATTTTATGTTTTTTCTGTGATTTACTATGATTTTTCAAAGATTCAGTCGAAATAAATAAAAAAAGAAGACAAAACCACCTTCAAAACTGCTTATAACAGGCCAAGAAGGTAAGATGAATGGTTTTAAAAATTGAGAGAGATGTTTTGTCCGGTCTTGTAGTTCAGGGAGGAAAAATGGACTTTTACGAAAATTGAGGAGGTAACGTGGAGTTTTTCCTTAGCGGAATCAATCAACAAAACAAAAACAAATCGTTGTGACCTGCAAGGCTGTTCAAAGTTGAAACATTTCTTTATACTTTCCTCTCTGAATTTCTGTATACTGATTCCCAAAAATAATTTACTACAGCACTAGACGTCGATGCTACAGTGATTTTCCATGGCGAAATCCACGGCAGAAAGAAACTAGCGTCCGGATAGATCATCCATCATACAGGCGGCGGGGGCAGGTCCAGCAGGAGCCAGACGCCGACGCAGCCGTCGGAGTTGAGGTTCTCCTGGATGGCCAGGAAGTGGAGGCCGCCGCTGGCCTTCTTGGCCGCCTCCCAGGCCTCAGCCTCCTGCGTCGCCGCGGGGGTTTTCTGGTACCCGGAGTAGATGTACCGCGTCGAGACCCCCGCCGACAGGATCAGGCTCCCCCTGCCGGTGTCCACCTCCATCGCGCTAATCTCCAAACCGTTCATCCACGCTGAAATGGGGGAGACAGAAAACACAAAGATGAACATCCAGTTGTTCGACATTGTCCCCTTTACAGTATGCAGTTCAAATGCGGTAACTTGTTCTACATCAAATGCATATCCAGTTGTCATTTCTTCTAGACTAGAATCAACTAGATGGTTGTTGTGTGTCTATCATTTCTTCTACATTCTCAAAGTACTAGTGATAAAATTCTGGAACGACACACATGTGAGATCATCTCATATGACATGCCAAAACTTGCCTAGGTGCACAACGATTAATCTTTATTGAGTTGTATGCACCGCAAAAAACCTAAGTTGTTGGAGAAAGACACTAGCCAATTTCAATAAGATCATTGTTCATAGAGATCAAAGTGATCAACTGATATACAAGTACTATTTATTTAATAAGAATTTAGTTTTTTACCAACAAAAAAGCATCTACGTCTCATAATCTTAACATATAGATGCATTTGCATCCAAGCATTAGCCATGACCATGAAAAAAAAATCGTTGCCAGTTTGCTACACACGTTTTGAATGCTTTGGGGCTTCAGGCTGCTTGTTAATTTCAATACGCCGATCGAGACAGCACATTGTCATTCTTCTATTGTGGCATTGGCGTTGGGTGAATATTTGGTACAGTACAAGCTTACCGGCTAGAGGCTTGGCGCGAGATGATTCCACGGCGACACCAGGGACTAGCGTGCTGTCATCAAGCTCGAACCCCAGCAGATCCAAGTCCAGCCCCGCACCGAATGCGTACCTCCTCCCCACTGATTCCACCTCCTCTCTCACAGCTGCACAACATAAACAATCAGAAGAAGAAGCTCGCTCTGCTCAAGGCCTCATCAATGGCTCAATAATCAAGGTTAATCGATCGCTGTGCCAAATTACCGGAGAACGGGAGCTGCACGAACGCCCACTTGTCGCCGAAGAGGTTCTCGGGGAGCGTGGTGGGGAACGGGTTGTCGAGCGCGAGCAGCGGGCGGGTGCCGGCCTGGAACCCCGGGTGTCGGCTGTACACCACCTCGTACCGCTCCTCCAGCCACAGCAGCAGCGACACGCACCGCCGGCTCGGCACGGCCTTCACGCCCAGCTCGCCGCAGGCGCGGGTGATGATGGTCTGCATCTGGGACCGGAAGAAGCGGACGCGGTCGGGCATGGGCACGCCCAGCGCCTCGGACACGGACGCCAGCGCGTCGCGGAGCGTCACGCTGTTGATGGCGTTGTTGGGGAAGTAGCGCGTGAACTGGAGCGACAGCGTGGCGTCGCAGACCACGAGCTCCCACAGCTTCTTGCCGCGCGCGTCCAGGATCGGCCGCGAGCAGAAGTCCAACTCCCACTCCCGGATCGACTCCGGGTCCGCGTCGGGGTCAAGGTAGCACACCTCCGCCTGCGGGTCCACCTCGTCCACGGGCTCCGCTTCTTCGTCGGTGATGTCAGCCGCGGCGGATGCGGCCGTGGAGCTCTCGGACGAGATGGACCGGCACCGGCGCGACCGCGGCGACGGGCTAGCCGGAACAATCATGCAGCGGGCGGGAGTGACGGGGCGCGCGGAGAGGGAGACCGAGGTGGTGGCTCGCCCTGGCGGGTTAGGGAGGGGGAGGCTGCGGCGCAGGGCGAGGCCATGCCCGGCGACGATGGCGGTGGCGGTCGTCATGCCGGGAGCAGGCAGGCGCCCACGGCCACACGCAGAAGCTAACGCTAGGGATGGCGGTCGCGGCGTGAACCAGTTCATCCACCAAGCAGTGTGGTGATCTCAGTCTTCCGCTTGGACCGTGGGCCGGCCCAAGATCATGAAGAAGCCCACCTAACGGTGAGGGAAGAGGATAACGACGACCTGATTTGGTAGAGAAAGAAAGAAAGAAAAACGAAAAACTAGAGGGTGGAAGACGACGGTGTCCGGCGTCCGTAGAAAGAGAGGAGAGGGGGGTAGGAGGCGGGGAGCAGCAAGAATGGCGTGCTCCACTGGTCTCTGCTTCTCGGCGTCGATTCCCCCCTCTTCCAGCCTCTTGTTCTTCTGGCTCCTCCCGCTTCCTCACGATCAAGCGTGTGTCCTCTGCTCCGTCCTTGTCCAGGTATGTTCTTGTTTCTTGTTGCCCTGCCTCCATTGATGCAGTATTGCTCTTGGCCAATTCATTAGAGCTTTCTCGAAATCTCAAATTAATTTGCTCGATGATGTTAGATGTTATTTTTCTTGTCAGACGAGAATTTTGCACTGTTGTTCCTGAAGCTAGTCAACACGAAAACCGCTCGGTGTTGGTTTTTATTCTCTGCAATCTTGTGAATTTACCTTTAACTGCTATAGGTATTAAAGAATATTTGGTTGGAACTCCACATTCTGGTGTATCTGGTTGCTTTTCCTACCATATGTAGAATAGTCTCTAGTTACAAGTTCAAAACCTGTTCTTCAGTTACAAACCCTTGGAAAAATTCATTTCGACTTTTTTTACAACTGTGAAACGGTTCAACTTCCTCATTTGGGTTGGCAAGCAGCCAGGAGACCAGTACATTTGAATTAATATCAGTTGATTTTACTTAGTTTACTAATAATAGCTAATTCTGGTTGTGGTTAGTGACATCAATAGTACTCGCATTATAACTTAACTGACCTCTGAGTTATATGTCTTTTCTCTCATAGATGGACAATCCAATACAAGCAATTGGGACATACATTATATCGGAGAAGCCACGTTCTGGCCTTTGCTAGTGCAGATGTATGCATCAGGCTTTGAGTAGGCCATCTATTTTTTAGGGTTGGTAGGACTATGACATTAATAATGTTTGTTGAACATAACTTTATGTGATTTGATATTTTTTATAAGTTTAAGCTCAATTTATTATGCCTATATCCAACCAGGATACCATAATTCCTTAGTACTCTTCACTTTATGCGTTGTACTAACCCAGGTCCTGGAGAAAGTTATTCAACTTTCTTTAGTGCCAGTTGCTGCATTCTTATTCTTATTCTTATTCTATATAATACATTCTCTCTTGGTAGTTAAACTGTTTTTTTTTTCCAAATGAATCAGGCACCAAAAGGCAAAAGAAGCTCAGGTGAGATTGTTGTGATGGTTGATCCACTGGAAGCTAAGCGCCTAGCTGCTAAACAAATGCAAGAAATTAGGGCCAAAGAAAAGCTGAAGGTGCATTGTTGCTGTATTGGAGTGTATCATTCCTTAGATTAAATCAATCATATATGCTAAAGGAAGGAATCTTCGTAATAAGGAAAAGTGGAAAACATCTGTCTTTTGTTTGGGCCAATAGTTGGTGATGAATCATTGTTTCAGATAACTGGAAACAGAACTAGGCTTTTCCCTGTTCATGTTGTCCTGCAAGTTCCCCATTTCTATTTTTTTTTCTGTGGATGAAAACTTGATTGCATGTTCTTCAGTTGAGGCATCTAACCTAACTGCAAATGGATGTTCAACTTAATATTACCTAGTGACTGTACATTGCAGTAATGTTCACATGGACATGGATTATTAATAAAAAAAACTCTACCTGCGGGGGAAATTATAACTTATAAGAGAGATGCTGAAATTCCTTTGGTGATTCAAGAAACATATATGTTTATTATATCACTAATATATTAATTCCACTTTCTGTTAACAAATAGTTATTTCGTCATCCATTAATTGGTGTCTGTTTGTCCTGGAAAACTCGTCTGCTGCGCTACCCTCTGAACCCCAATATCAGTCTATGTTCTATTTTGATGCTTCATTGTGTTTTCTTACTCTTCAAATTTGATCCCAATCACTGTGGTCTGTCTTGTAGAGGCGCCGTCAAGCAGAAGCGATCAATGGGGCATTGGCAATGATAGGACTGACTGTTGGATTGGTAGTGGAAGCTCAGACAGGAAAGGGCATCTTAGGGCAGGTACGTAAACTGAATGCAGGAGAAATTCGGTTTTTAGTATATACAAACTTTTATCATAACCAATAACATGACTTGGGAAATGTTATTAATGGACAACAGTGATGTCTGATGCTTGATATTTATTTACTTAGAAACCAGAATGTTAATTACAGTTTTGCGTTACGAATATGTGATCGCGTGCTCATCCATTTCTGCAGCTAGCTGGATATTTGACGGCTATTTCTAGTTTATTTGGGCAATAATACTGGACCATGATTGGAGATTTCTTTTTCACGTTCCTTGGCCAGGAGAGCTCCTATCTGAATCTTATTTGTTGAATCCACCCAATTTTTTGGGAGTTAATCCCAAATGGCTGTGCAATAGCGCACCCAGACTTGTATGTTTATCAAGCACGATAGCATGGGCTGAACATTAATATACATGTAACAGAGTCGTCCCAACAATTTCTGATTATAGCAGCTGCTAAAGAGCAGTTCTTCATACTTAAATGTGAAATGTTGAAGTCTTTGAGAACTCTTTTCTTTCTTTTGCCAAATCATTGAGCCTGTAAGATGTGGATTGGACTTAGAAGTCTCTGACTGGTTGTTTGTATTTAGTGAGCTGATGACACCTGCAATGGAATGATGAATCTATTGCTAGGGTGTGACTTCATCTTACCATGAAAATGTGGGTACCTCAAGTCTTATTTTTGTATATGTTCTTGTTGATTGATCTTACTATGAAAATGTGGGTACCTCAAGTCTTACTATTATATATGTTCTTTTGTTCTTGTTGATTGAGCTCGAGTGGCAGTGTTCTGTTGTATTTTTTATTTCCAGAGCCTATGAAGGTCCATGCATGTTAATGAGATATGGGAATTGCACAACTTCAAGCTCAACTTGGAAAACTTCAGGAACACATCATTAGGAATTTGTTGAAGGTTTTTTTTTATGGCAAAGGAGCTGAGCATGACTGCATGAGTGGTATAGATTCACAACATTGGGTGCTTTAGAAGGCTGAGCATGTATGTACAGTTTGAATTCCTAACGTTGTGCTCGCTCTTTCACTCCGCACCGAGCAAGCTAGTTTTTGCCTGTTTGGAACAAAATGATTTCATTAGAATTTCAGAAGCGCTACATTAAAGAAAAAAAGAATTTCAGAAGCGCAAGTCATCCTGACTTAGCAAAAAAAATTTGTCATGAGGTTTGCTTATCATCGGTAAGGTTTCCACCATCTCAGAAAAGTTGGATAATGTACCATCCAACCGACGACTCCAGCTAGAACAAATAATCTCATTTTATTTCTTTTTGGACCCCCCTCGTGCCCAAAAACTATTCCTAACACGAATGGACTGGATAGCAGTTCATTGTTCTAGAGCCACTACAAAAACTTTGATTCCCTCTTTTTTTTCCTCATCTAAAAAAATCCCAATTCTGGTTTGAAGCTCATGGCGAAACATCGTCCACATGAATTTTGGATTTAAGAGCAACCTCAACCATTCACACCCACAAATCCAGTGAAACGTCAAGTCCTTGTGAGCCTTTTGTTTTCAACGAAGGGGGCTGGAGTCCTAAATTATATAGTTTTTTTTAATAAAGGCACTCAAAAGAGTGCATCATATCATGTTGGTGTTTCGGATCACAGGCTAGTAAATTTCTAGTTTACGTGTCTAGCCCGGATGGTGTGATCGGAGGACACAAGGATTATACTGGTTCGGGCGGAACGTCCCTACGTCCAGTTTGTTGTTGCTCGTGTTACCGGCACTGTCTGTAGTAGGGGTTACAGATGAGCGAGAGAGGGAGCGGATCCCAGGTCTCTGGTGGAAAGATTGAAAAGTGCTAAGAGTTTGTCTAGCTGCTCAGCCGTGTGCTCGTGCCTATCTCCCTCGTGTTGTGTTGCGTTGTGTTCCCCCTTTTACAGAAGAAGGGGAAGATGCAGGTTACATGAGAAAAAGAGAAGAGAGAGAGAAAGATGGAGAAAATTGAGGAGAAGAAGCCCTCTGGGACTGCCGCGTCCTTCTTCTCCTTCATGCGGATCCCGCCGATGCTGTAGACGGTGACGGGGACGGCTCCACGTCGGGCTCCTGTTCACCACTGGTGCTATGCCTTGACGTCATCAGCTGGTCGTAGCGTTCCATCCTGTCTCGGCGAACGGTGTGGTGAACCAACGTGCTTGTCAGTGGCCATACGGGGATTAGGCAGCAAAGCGCCCACGCACCCGTCACTGTTGACGATGCGAACCCTCGGGCGTGGCCTGTCGTGGCCACGGGTCACGTCAAGACGTGCCCGCACCCCTTCTGGTGTCAGAGGACTTCGAGGGTTTCGATCTTCTGCTGCCCGTGGGACGCCTTGGTGGGTTACGATCCCTTTCTGTTGCGACCAGACTTCTTTTGAGGGCGTGTAGCTGTGGGATTTCTTTGGGGACCGGAGAGGATTTTCCTTAATTCTGGCCCCTCTTAGGACCTGATCGATCCGCCGTTGTCACGCGACCGTGTATTCGGTCTCTTTGTGAGTCCAATTCCCCCCGAGCCCTCGCGCGTTGCGGGGTCTGATTGAGGGGTCGCCTCATCTTGCAATCGTTCTCCCTCAAGCATTTTTTCGACAAAACAGAGGGGTTGAGCCGAGCCATGTTTTCCTCGGTGGATGAACCATGGTGCTCGGTTAGCTGTTAACGGGCTGGTTTGAGTGGGGCCCCGGCGTCCCGTTCACAGGGGTTTGGCATGGGTCAGCTGGTGACCGACTCCAGATTCCTGACGGCCAATCCATATAGTTCTTGGATTCGTTTGTCCGGTCCCAAGGGCTCACTGCCTTTCTTCGAGGAAAAACCATGGACAGCGCGCTGGCCAGGTCTCAAACATGGGTTGGGATGCCCGTAGCGCTCGTGCGCTTGGGAATTGGCCACTAGCAGGCCCATCCTTTTCCACCCCTCACTCTAAAGGTGCCCTAGAGCGGTTGTGAACCCGTTGGTGGGCCAATCTTCGAACTCATGGGCTGTAATGGGCCGTGGGAGCATTTTTAGCCCCGTATCCCTTCCTTACTTGCATCGGTTCTCGGTCGTCTTCGCTTTCCATAGAGTCGTGGTACCGCTCCGACATCACCTATGCATGCATGGAGGGCCTCGTCAAGCGCGGTCTTCTTCGCGGGAGGACCGACACGATGGAGTGGCTGGTTCCCGACCACGAGGAGGTGCCGATGCCGCCCGACGGTTACATCGTCTCCTTCGCGTCCTTCCACGAGCGTGGGCTCATGATCCCCCCTCATCTGTTCTTCTAGGGGGTGCTGCACCACTACCAGATCGAGCTATAGCACCTCAACCCCAATGGGATCTAGCACGTCGTAGCCTTCATTGCAATGTGCGAGGGGTACCTGGGGATCGAGCCGCACTTTGAGTTGTGGAGGTACTTCTTCTCCATCTCCCTACATAGGAAGAAGGAAAGAGGCAGGGAGATCCCGGTACCGATGGGATACGTGGGCATCCACCTCCGAGGGCAGCGGGCGGCCGAGTACATGCCCTGCCAGCTGTCCAGATCCAACAAGGGGTGGCACATGCAGTGGTTCTACTTGAAGAATGACCCCGCCACCCCCTTGCCGGACTTCACCGGGCTCTTGATCGAAGAGGCACCTCTGACGTGGTCGTGGGGACCACCCGACAAGGAAAAGAAGAGGATGCGCAACATCCTCGAAGCCATCGCATCCCTGAGGAGCCATGGACTTCGTGGGGCTGGTGTCATTGGAGCATATCACGCGAGGAGGGTGGCACCGCTGATGGCGTGCGCCCTCTTGTTGTTCGAGATGATGCCGGTTGTGGAACTCGATGGGATGGCGCTCGCCCAGGGGCCGCTTCGCAACAGCGAGATTGCGCAGCGCATCAAGGAGGCGACGGACGAGTTCGACACCATGTTCCCAATTCCGAGACATCCCATGATGCGGCTGGAGCCGGGCTTTATTGAGCTGCTAGTGGATTTGGGCTTTCGGGCCTCTATCGCACCGTTGTCAGAGCACGCGGCCATGAGGGTGGCGAACCGTGCAGCAGATGAGCGAAGGAAGAAGCATAAGGACGACAAGGAGAAGAAATGGTGGGCGAAGGAGCGGGCAAAGCTACAGTGAGGGAAGTGGCGCCAACGCTCATTGGAGGAGGAAGGGGAGGGGGAAGAAGAGGAGGAGGACGACGACGACTCTGGGTCGCCCATCCCATGGGATGATTCGGCCGGCGGGAATGAGGGCCCGCCTTCGCCTCAGGCATGGCCCTTCCCATGGCATCTCTTGGAGCAAGAGGGGGAGGACACACCCTCAGAGATGGTGGGAGCGAGCCACCCCGCTCCGTCCGAGCCTTCTACGGTGCCCCCATAGCCAAGGGGAGCTAGCGTCTCTGCCTCATCCGAGCCTCCTATCGGTGTTTCGAGTAAACATGTCGCACCCAATTTTGCATAGCAAAACCAAGTACTCATATATGTGCGCCCAGGATGTCCAAACACACACATATATCACAAATTGCAATAGTATCAAAGTAAAGTACTTATTACATCACATATCTCATCATAAAGTAAATACAAAGTTTGCTCGATGGCAATACTATTACAATCACAGCGGAATAACTAGCCCATCTACCACAAGGACTCCAACTGGTGAACGTCTCCCTAGTAGTCCTGGATATCCTCCGGAAACTCTTCATATCCATTATCTGTTACCCATCTAGGATTTTCATTGGATGTAAAGCAAGTGTAAGCTCACCATACTTAGCAAGTATAACAAAGGGATCTATGAGGCTCAAAAAGGCTTGACACTGTTTGACTGCGGTCTGCAATTTTAGTTGATCAATTTTTAGCATCCTGAATCACTACTTTAATGAACAGTCCCAATTCCCAAGTGATATTAAAGTATAGTCATATTTATCTCAATTCCCAACCATCCACCATTCCCAGTAACCACTAATCTTGAAGGATCCAGACCGCTCGTATCCGTGAGCACGGCTGTTATAACAGGTTAATTATTTCTGCAGAAATTGTACATCTTTACCCACCGAGCCGTGATTCCCAATGCCAGGGTTCGCGAGACCCACTACACCTCTTCCTAGGAAGTGTGGCAAGGTTTCACTATGAAACCCTTAGCTAGTCGCACTAACAAGTCATAGCTACAAAGGAGTGGTACACGTGGGCATCGCAGCACGGTACACCCTAGCAGAAAAAGGAAAGATACCCTCTTACCCTTACTGGAGCTATAGACGAGCTAGTACAATCTAGTTAACAGGTTAAAGTCAGAGCCAT